AAATATGCCAGTTAGGGACTGCTTAAACCAGCATTAGAATTAATCTGTATTCCTTAAATGCTGACAGGACAGCAGGCAAATGTAACCCAAGAATAAGCATCAAAGGAAATCTGGACCAAAAAACCAAACCCATTGCTGTGAAGGCAATTCCAACTCATAGTGACCCTACAGGACAGAGTAGAACTGCCCCATGGGGTTTCCAAGGAGTGGCTGGAGGATCCTGGACAGGTATTTAAAAATATGGAAAGCATGTAGCTGAGAATTAACTTTGAGTAGATAAATAGATTAAGTAACATAAAAACAATCAGCAGTACTCTACAGAATAATGCCATCCATAACCTAAACACAATGAAAAGATTTATTATAAACAAAGGTTATACGGCAAATTGAATAATTTTACTATTCTGAAAAAGGTAAATTTCCAGATAATATCAGCAATATCCTAAAGAGCTTCTGAATATTTTTATACCAATGAAATATTTATTTTTTCATCAGTAATTCATACCACTTCTCTATTTAATAAAGAGCTAATTTAAACATACATAAAATGTTAGCCATTTGAGGGTATAATAGGTAGTAAATGAGAAAATTCTTTTAAATCATGTACCTAGTAAAGTTTAAATAAGACTACAAAGCAACCCAGTCTAAGGATTATTTCACTTTTGCACAAACTGACTGCATACACTGCTCTTCTTTTAATCTGATTAATTGAATATGTAAAGAAAATGAACTATTTCTGCATTTTCTCTAACTCTTTTCCAAAGGACAAGGGACTCATTTATGAATTATCTAAGTCCTTTTAACTTCCCCCTTTCACTTAGTTTATTCTCCACATATTAAAGACTCAAGAATCATGGACCCAATCCCAACTTATGAACAAGAAATTGAACCTTAGAAATAATGTTGTCTGGCATAAGCACCTCCAACCTACTCCAGTCTTTTCTTTCCTCTATTTTTGAGACAACAGATTATCTAAAAGCCTCGAGTCATTTTCTGTATTTATTTATTTACTTTTTTAAATCTTTTTTGAGGGTAGGGGTGACAGTGGAAGGGAATCAAAGGTAATGCGGATGTGAGACAGAGGCCGTAGCTGACATTAAGGGGCTAAGGACGAATACGTTAGGGAAGGACTATACAGACCCTTTATTTGGCTCTGTTCTCTGATCACGATTGATACCTTCAAATGGTGATAGCTCTCTTGCAAATGCAAAGTGAGTGAGAGGATATGGCTATTAGTATATATTAATTTTACTAACAGGAAGTATATCCTAAAACATGCCTGACATGTAGTTCTGATTAGGAACAGAAGCTGATTTTTTTAATATTAATGATAATACATAATCATATTACCATTTACTACTGGCATTTTTGCCAGGAAGAAACTGTAATCTCAGTCAATCTTGTTAGTTTCATAAAAAATTTCTAAAGGGATAAATACTGAAAGCTTATTGGGAATAAAGGAATAGAAAAGGCCATTAATGAGAAGTTTAAAGTATAAATACAAATGAAATTCTGAGACTGTTTGTGAATTCTGCTCTCTATTATGGCTGAC